TAAGTTTCAATGAGATCTACAATTTCTTAAGTAAATATTTAAATCTTTACACATTTTATTCATGTAATACACTAACTGTGTGGAAGGAGTAGGTTTTACTATAGATGCACATACTATTTAAAAGTTTAATAGTCGCTGAATAAATAGCTAAAAATACTAAGTAAATTGTAATCCAAGTGGGTGTTTACATTTGAATCCACACATGCGCTTATGGACAAGACAAGATACCTGCCATTTTAGTGGTAATAGACCAAAGCAGGGCAACTGAATCTGTTTCTGTTTGAGACAGAGGTGCTGCATGACAGGGCTTTACTTTTGTGATATCATTGCCACTGTCTCAAGAGCTGCCTGGCTTAGAAAACCCCTGCCACGTTATTGTTATAACGTTACCAGGGCTAGAAAAAAAAAAGCCCACATGTAACTATGCTTAAAAGCTCGTTTGTTTATTTAATTTCTATACTGTAAAGGTATAGAGTTGCCAAAGAGTGGGTAAGTTGAAAGAAGAACAGAAGTGGAGATGTGTTTAACGTACATACTGACTAACCTGAAATTATTACAATTTCACTAAAGAAGTTATTAAAGTAACATTACCAAATTAACTTAATACATGCTGCTAGGCTGGTGTGTAACATTATACACTAAAGGACTGCATTGTATTTTAGCGCAGCTGACTACTTTATTTAGCCTGTAAACACGTCTAAAGTTGTAAATAATAGTGTGGTGTTTTAAATAAAATATTTTTGTGAGTTTCCAGCCCTTGTTTTGACATATTTAATGTTATATGTATATTACGTTACCAATCACTCTTGTCTGAAAAATGCCTGTTTAAATAAACGTGTAAAATATTCTGATTTATGCCCTCAACTTTGCATACCCCCCAAACACTGCGCTACACCTTTAAGGTGCTGCAGAAACTTTCCCTAGAATGGGATGGGATTAAGCTTTCCCCAACTCACTTCTCCATCTTGCAAATAATTGCATCAACTTAAAAAGACACTGTCACCTGCATTGGACCCTCCGCCACTGTCAACACACAGACTTGCAGAATCCATCTTCAGCTTCGACTCTCTAAAAGACTGTTAAATGTGGTCCGATGGGACCAGGACTTGTAGACTATGCTGTATATAAATATATTTTTCAGATGGGTAAATGCAGTGGATAAACATGTTTTAATGCATTACGCTTTTAATGTCACACACGGTGTTTTTTGCAGTACAAAGACATGCACCAGCAAAGGTAATAAAATGTAGGAATATATTAAGAACTTCTTAATGATATTGTTTTACACAAATACATATTTTTGATGGTGTTATAAATAAAATCAAAATTAGTGCTGGGCAACGATTAAAAATTTTGTGATGAATCTCAAAATTGAATAATGAATTGAAGTTGACATTTTGGTTACTGTATGGGGTAACCAACAACACGTTGTATAGCATGTAATGCTGTGACATGCACAAAAAAAGATATATAACTCCATAAAAGAGAGGGGAAAAACAAAAAGCATAATGCCACCTCTTTAAACAATATGATTATTGAGTTATTATTAAGTTAGTATGTAGTATTAACAAATGTAGAGCTTTTTTTTGCACTAGGATTTAATAAATAATAACAACCCACAGAAATGAAACAGCTGTAACTGGATTTATTATTCAGCTAGTGGTAAAATAGTTTATATGAAATTATAATGACTATAGTAATTTTAAATTTTTTTGTTTTTTTAATGTTAATATGTTACATTAATACACTATACTAGTTCTTCCTTCAGGTTGTGGATAGAGCATCTGCAGTGGACAGATGTAGATTTAGACAGATGCAGAGTCAGGATGCCTTTGTCCCAATATGTGATCTTTTTAGCTTCCTCCTCCTGAGAGCAACACTCACAACAGAATCAACCCACAACTTTGTTTGAGTTAAGAAATATCCGTATTTTGTGCAACATTGTCCACAATAATCACAATATGACTTTTTCTCCAAATTGTGCAGCTCTTTCTAAAATGTTTAAATTATTTGGATTTTCCATATTTTTATTTTGTTTATTCAGCTAATTGTTTGATTATATTTTCTGTAAAATGCATCTTTCAATGCATTTTTCAAAGCGTTCTCACACTGCTTGCGATACAATTTTGGGGGAGAAATACTGATCCCTTATTAATTTATGATGGTTGGCCTAAAAGTGGTCAATGGCCAGTGTAATACATTGAGTCCGAAATATCCAATACCCACTGAATGAAATCAGTGAAATCAGTGAAAACTCCTCTCTGGTTTGCCAAAAAAAACAAATTTTTAGAAAATACAAAACGAATTACCTCAGCATCCATAATGGTTTCAAATAACTGCCTTGAATGATGGATGGATTTGATCTGTATTAATCAATTATTTTCTTCCAGATGACAGCAATGGGAGAGAAAGTTACACCCTACAAACCACAACTATGTCATGGCAAGACGGTCAGAGCTTCGGCAGACAGTATTACACTGACCTGGTGAGTGTGAAAACTACGGCACAGCACGAAGAGATTTGTATGCATGCTTACAACAACAGTGTCTGGATCAGGCTGTTCAGAGACGTGTTTATGTGGTCTGATGGAAGCACTGGCTCTTTCAGAAACTGGGATGAAAGTAACCCTGATAATCTGGGAGGTAATCAGAACTGTGCGACGTTCAGATGGGTCCATCCAGTATCAGTAGAATGACAATGATTGTTATTTCTGCTTACCTTTTGTCTGTTACAATGGTGAGTTATTAATTTTATATATACTTAATATGTGTTTTAGCAGTAGGTGAATTTAGCAAATAATTTAGTAATAATGACACTGCTACAAAGGGGTGCGTGGTAGTAGGGCCAATAGAGGAATTTTCTTTGAACCCTTAAAAATCTTAGAATTAAGTTTCATCTGCAATTTTTGTTATTAAAAATTATACTATTAATTACTATTTTATAAATATATTACTATTTTTTTTATCTAAAACATTGGTTTAGTCTTCTCCTTCAGTAGGATGTACAAATAGTTTATCTCCAAACACACTGACGCTGAGGACTTAAGGGGAATGTTGAAGCATCATGTCATTTCAAAATCAGGCTACCAAAAGAAAAAAGAAAGACAGGAGGAAGAAGAAGGTGCAGGAGTGCGGCTAGCTCGCTAATATTATAAATGTTAGGTTGCTGATAAATGAAGCATCATTACCTTCAGTTTCAGAAACAGCCACAGAGATTGGATCAGCCATAGGTCCATTATCACCATCTTTTCATGTTACTGACGATGTCAGACAACCTGAACCCATAAAGTGGTCATAGTCACTTTTACTATAGCGGGTTACATTACTGATGCAGACAACTAGTATTGACTCTGTATTAAGAACACTCTTAACAACATTTAAGAGTAATAGTAGTTTCTTATCCTCTGTTTTCAATTAAAAAACAGTGGCTGCCTTTTTTTGTATATATTTGGATTGTACCTTTATCTTTTGGTTTTATTTGACCATGAAATGCTGTAATACAGTAATCCTTTCTCACTGTAGGGGCCAGATTCAGATGGCTTTCCACCTTTGTTTTATGCCTGGGTTACAATTACAACCTAAACAATTTTCAAAATTTTCTCTTTTAGATTTATAATAATCTCATAGTAAAAGCATCACACAGTAATTAACAGTAAAGGGCTGAAATATGTTGAGATTTCCAACTTTCTTAAATGTCTTAAAAACATTAATCACATTCAACATTCTTCAGCATTCATTCTGCATTCAGTTTCAGGCACAGCTGGAAAACCAGTTTGGGTGTGGAGTCCAAGTCCACTGGCAGGCTGACATAAATGGACAGGTCTTCCATAAGCAAGACAAACACAATAGAACCGATAAAACAGTTGCGTTTGACCTGCAATGCAACACCCACTTGTTACTCCTAAGGTTACTTTTGTTTTACTGTAAATCAAATGACAGTTGAATAGTGAAACCATTTTTATTAATGTCTTTTATTGCACTTACTCTGTTGTTATGTAAATGTAACATTTAATAGTAACTAAAATAATACGTGGTTTGTATTTTGTTGTATTTGTGGTGAGGAATTAAATTTTTGTATGTAACAAATGTAACAAAATCTGAACTCAAGGTCCACCTTCTAGCCTTTTCTTGGCTTTCAACCACATCTCCCTGTGGATTGAGTTTGTTTTGTTTTTGTGAAGTATGGAACTTACATCTGAGCCATGATCCAGAGAACAGAGCAAAATTCATTCACTGATGGAGACTGTGAGATGCGGCTAAAAGCTTCAGAAAAATCTTGGAAGTAGACCCTGAGTTGAGATTTTCTTTTGGTAAAGAATGAACTTTCATGTCCTGTTACTAATAACCATCAACAACACCTTTTGTTATAAATCTACAGTTCTTAATCCTTAATTAAATGATTTTCTAGCCACTTGGGGGAAGCAGCAACAGCCTGCAAACAAGCAACATTGACATAACGTGTTTTTGGTCTCTACCAGCTCTTTAGGGAAATATGTCTTTTTAGCATTATGTTCACTCACTAGTCGCTAACTTTGTATGTCGCTTTGTGCTGTGCAGGTCGTGTACAGTTTTGACTGAAAGTCACAGGTAGTAAAACCAAAACATTGAGCTGAAAGATGCTAAATCGTTTCATAGAGCTGAGCCGAACTTCACAGTTGGGTAACAATTCTCCAGTCTTTCATATTACATTTATTTAATCTGTTGTTGAAATTAAACTATTTATTAGAGCAGCTTTAATGTCTGAAATATCTAAATAATTGTCTGCAATGCTCATTTTGGATGTCAATAGGAATGTAACACAAGTAATTGCAGTCTGATGAAGTACAAAGTACAAGACGTTTACAGGAAAACAGAACATCTATTATCACCACTGCAATGACTGAGCTGAAGGACTTCACTTTCATTTCTGTGTAAATGTAACTTAATAGTCATTCAAGCACGAGCTGTTGAAGGTATTGATACTCACAATACAACATTTTTCACCATGAAGGAATGATATTCAACACATTGACGTCTGATCAAAGATCCAAGAATGTAAAGCATGCAGAAGGTGTGGCATAAAGCTGTATATAAGTAACATCCTCAGGCTCTTTAGTCACCCACACATCTGCAGGAACTCAAACAGGTAACAAGATTTGTGTTTGCATTTGTTGTTTATATTTCTTTGATTTTTCTATGAAATGTTCAGTAACATGATTTGATGTTACCATACTGGAACTCACAGCCCATCAATCTTATCATTAATCTTTCATCATCTTCACGGTGATCCTGCTGCTGCTGAAACAGTTTGAATTAATTTACTTAATTACTTAATTGTGAGAGTTTCAAACCCTACTCTAAAAAAATCGTTACCTTTTAAAAACATTTCTAAATTATTCCAGGAACTTCTTCTGTTTGGTGATGTAATCTTTTTTAAATTCTATATAAGCCAATTGTAAGGCTACTGTTTAAAAACGATAAATGATCCTAAGTCCATATGTTATGAAAGTTTAGTCACCAATCTCTTATTGGACTCAGTATAGAAGTACTGCTGAAACAGTTTCACATATTCTTTCCTCTTTTTACTGAATTTAGGCAATTTAATTACTTAATTGTTACTGTTAATAATTACAAGAGTTTCAAACCCCTTTCTAAAAAGTATATAGACTACGTAATTGTAAAACTTCCTAAACATTTCTAAATCATTCCTGCAATGTTTACATAGGACCAGGCCTATTTGTAAACCTTTTGTAGCAAGCAGATGTGGAAATGGAACACTTGCGACACAAGACGTACTGTATAGGCCTACTCCAGAAACAGCATTTCTACTCATACTAAATCTATTAATTGCTTAATACATTGAATCTAATAAACAAATATAATTTATTGTGCTAGAACTCACCACGAATCCAGCTACTGTCCATGCAGGCAATGGGAGGGCGTGACTTTGCAGAGTCCCTAGAAGAAGTCCCTAAGCAGCTGTTATGCCTGCTGAGATGTGCATGCAGCTCTCGGAATAGAAAATAGAATAAAAAACTGCCAGACATTGTAATAATTTCGAGGAAGCAGAGCAGAGAGGACCCGCTGGATAAGTAGCCTAAAGCACATGAAGATAACGTCAGAATTACTGGAGTTAACGCTTGTTAATGGCAATAGAACTGTCTCTAGTAAAATCAGTAGGCTACTTTATCAGTACACCAATTCAAACGTGTAGGTATATTCACAGCAGGCCATATGTAGTGACATTGCTGTAGCTTCTCTAGAAAAAGCATTTATAACCTAGTTTTAGTTCAGGTATATTCAAAATCTCAAATTATAATGCTGTTCTGAATGTTGGACTACTTTTAAAATAACTTTTTAAAACTGCAACAACAGCCATTCATTCTGTCTCTGTCAATGTGACAGCATGTCATCACTCTCTTCAAAGGGTGTGCTAAGGCATCCAGAAGATTACACTTCCAGTTGACCTTATTATAAAGGCCTACAGACACAAATTAACCTTGAATTAGTGCATAATTTAAGTCATTTTGATAGTGTAGGGTTATACAGTAGCAGCAGATTTTAATGAAGAACGTCGTTAAGCTATATGAATACATTTTGAAATTCAATATAATTGGAATTGCAGAGTCAAACAGGACGTCTAATAATATCTGCCATCGGCATTGCTAGGCAGCATCGAGCTAAACAGGAAGAGGTTCACAAGGCTGATCCAGGAGTTTTAAATACAGTACATATGTATACACATACAATATACAGAATATGTTTGTGTGTGTGTGTAAGTATATACATATATAGGGTTAAGCATTGAGATGGTTAGAAATAGTAAATGCATCGTGCCACTGCGTGTCTTCACAAGTTTAGGAGACAATTCTCATCAGGCAGCACAGTCATCCATGTCAGTGCATTACTGGATTGTTAATCCTGACTCATTAACATGTAAGCATCATTTTGATCTCATACTTGGTTATGAGGCTAATTTAACCTACTTAATTTACTTTCTGCATTATAAACTGATATGTTTTGTATCTTGATTTAAAATCTAAAACAATAAAGTTTTAAAATCTAAAACAATAAAGCTGTAGCCTGTTTTTAACTTACAGAGCACAACCATGTGCAATGCAGTTAATGAGAGCTTTTAAACTACTGTAAGTCAACACACCACCAGACTCTCAAACCAGTGTAACATTATAACTAAAAAAAACTGTAAGGTTACATGATCAACAATAAACTTGTAACCTCTTTCTAGCCAACAGCAATAATTAAGGTGATGGCAGACCACCACAAGTTTGGCAAGTAAACAAACGCTTGTTCATCTTTTCATAACTAACGAGCTTCTTTGTTTGGGTCTTGTTGTATGAAATTTTAAAGCCAAAGTTTATGATGAATGGCTCAGCAGATGCCGGTGTTTGTTGTCCTCTCTCACAGAGGACAGATGCTACGTGTTACGTAGGCAGGTTATGGGTAACAGAGGGATGGAATAACGGCAAGCTCGACAGACGTTTCCTAAAAATAAACATTGTTCTCGAGTCCCGCATCTTGAGTCCGAGTCGAGTCTGAAGTCACATTAATGAAGAAAGCGTATGACAGATCAAAGTATGATAGATCAAAGTATGCCAAATACCTTCGAGGCCGTTACCTTTTGCATCTTATTTTTTTTTTTTTGTACTCGAGTCCCCATCTCTGATTTGAGATATTTACGTCTGGACCACAGTGGTGGACTGACCAACTGACTACCATTACTATCCATAAGGGATGCCTCATTAAAAGTGGTACCCCTTAAAAAGTATGTAATTTATTAATAGTATATGTATGATATTGTATGTTTTAAAACTAAATTATGAACATGGGCTCTGTTCTTATCACCTCTTTAGGTTTGAATACTGCTGGACTACTTTCTGAAGCATCTCAAAGTCTACATTTATCATCATGGAGCGTAATTCAACAGAAATAATGGCCCCTGACAGTAGAGATGAAACCTTGGTTAGTGGTTCGGAGTTGACACTGGTGGAATATTTCCAACACCTTTCTGGACCTGTTGCACAGTATGTGCGACAACACCAGGGGTCCACCAACACGCAACTGTTCTCTTTTTTGGCACTTCTGAACGCATACACTCCTGATTCCTACCTCCTGATGCCTGAGTGTCAAAAGATCCTTGGACCACCTGATCCCATCCATGGAGGACCCCCCTTTGAAGAAAGAATGAAGCCTTTTACTTTCTTAATCAGCACATCCAGTTCAAGCTCTGTGCATATGATTCACCCATTGGTTGCAAAGAGAGCTGTGGAGCTGCTAGCTGAATTAGGGATTTCCAGGAGTGCTACAATGAAGAAATTTATGTTCTCAGTTTGTGGAGATCAGCCCCAACCATATATACTCCAGTTCATCAAAGATTTGCTGACAAAAAGAGAAAGTGGAGAAAGGGGTAGAGAGAAGTTCTCAAGGATGATTGAAGATATAGGGAAGAAAGAGAACTTTTACAACGCTGTCTCTGTCTTGAAAAAGGCATCAGATAAATTCACACAGAACCCAATTTTCCCTCAAACTATTTCCCGTCTCTTTTACATCCGCGAAGAGATCACTGACTATAAAAAAGCTGAAGAATGGGCAAAGAAAGCTATTACAAGAGCTCCAAAAAACTCTTATGTAGCTGACAATCTTGGGCAGATTTACAAGAACTGTTTGATGAGGAAAGCCACGCAACTGAAGGAAATCTCAAACGTGGCAAAAGATGCCTTCGACGCATTTAAAGATGTGGAGATGAAAGCTGAGAGAGAAGAGGACCCTGGAATGGAGGACATAGCTCGTACTGTAAGCCTTTCAAATTTCTTCAACAACAGAGGCCTTTTTGGCTTCATGCAAGTGGCAAAAATAGCCTTTGAAAAACTCTCACAGGAAAACAGTAGTTTCACCCAAAACTTAGTAAATGAAGAAGAAGTTATAGACAAGTTTGTCTTTTTTGAATGGTACCTAACCTACTCCAAGCCTGACATGACATCCTCAGAGCCCCCTTACTTCTGGAGGGATGTAGTACTTTGTTACGAACACTACACAACAGCAACAGCAGCTGAATCCACCAGCTTTACAGGCCTTCTAGATTGTCTGAATCACGGCCTTTTCATGTCAAAGGGAAGACGTGCTAGGTTTGTGGAGGCTGAGAAAACAGTGTCTGATTTAGAAGCAATCCGAGATGATTTGAAGACCATCTACGAGACCACCGATGATGTCGAAGCAGCTGAGAGGTACATCCTCTCCAACATCATCTTGAGCAACAAAATGCATAACTCTCCCCGGCTGACCCCGGTAAGAGAACTCCAAACAATAATACACAGATTCTTGGACACAGAAGTAGGGCACAGAAGCCCTGAGTTTTACCTTTTGGTTCTGCTGTTGTTTTGGCCTGAGGTAGAGCCTCAGGTGGTGCAAGAAGAGGATGATGAAGAAGTTGAACTACCGTCCACAGAAGATGACGAGTCAAATGACCAAATCTGGGAGGATGAGGACAACGACGAGGAACAAGAACCAAGAGGAGAGCCTGCACAACCATCTCTCGAGCTCACGTTCGACCGTGACCTGCAACAGTATGTCACATTAATGAAGACAGCGTATGACAGATCAAAGTATGCCAAGTACCTTCGAGGCCGTTACCTTTTGCCTCTGTTTTTTTTGGGAAAGGGCTCCGGACTGAGCAAATGGATTCACAAATCAAGGTTGGATGCAATCGTGGAAGAAAAAGTTGACTCTGAACTATGTGTAGCAATGAAGGAGAAACGCATCGATGAAATGTGGATCAAGGGGGAAGTGTGGGGAATCCCAGAAATCCAAGATATCCTCCTTCCAGTCCAGGGAGAGCTATGCCATTCTCCCACGATGCCACAGGGGCGTGAAAAGCAGGACGTGATTCTTTGTGTTGGAGGGAAGAAAATAATGGCCGTAGCAGAGATTGAACCTGATGCTTCAGCACTGAGCCCAATGCTTTTCTATCTTGGCTTCACCATTCAGGGTCCTGTCATCTTTAAAGTGGGATTTCCTCACATGTTCGGACAGTGATTCACAAGGAACACTTTGGGAGTGTAATAAAGACTCAACAAACATTTGCTTGACAACATTATAGACTTTTTTCCTTTACAAAACCACGGATGGTGATGCATGAAAAGTCAGGGGATCACCGATATCAGTAGTTTTTATCGTCTTGGCACTGTGAATGTCATGGCAACCTGTAATAGTTGCTTAGATATTTGAGTAGACGATATAGTGGTATATTTAAGTTAGGTTTATTTAACCATGTTGCGTTAGTGATTTTTGCGAAGGTGGACAGGCATATAAAACATTTTCTTTCAAAATCAGGTTGACATTTTTTGGAAATAGTTTTTTTACCCTAAAATGTACTCATGAACAAACTTAAAGGTAAAATTCTTGTATTGGACTGTATTCAATTTTTGCGTATGTTGGTTGCATTTCTGTTGATTTAATGTATTTTTTAGGCCTATGTGTATTCTATAAGATCTAAATCAATATTTTAAAAGAAACATCTTGAAAATGAAAATGTCATTAAAAAGAATGTATGCAGATGATTTGGCAATAATGATGAAGTGTACTGAAATGATGTCAGAGGTGTGCTGCTGTATTACTTTTTTTTAAAGTGTACCTATTATTTGAATTGATGGGGAAAAGGGAGTTTCATAGGCCTGTGTCCATTTATATGTCAGTCATTTCTGTTGTGAATAATAAATAAATAATTTACCCCATCTTCAATACGGGTTTTTCATACACATATCAATATTTATGGAAAAGGGGGTTTTGTAATTAAACATTTGCTCATGGGAGGTTAGTTCTTTACCTGTCTTTTCATTGTATTTCAGTCTTCCCCTTTGAGTTATATAAAATACTGTCTCTAGCAAAGAGCACTTCTCACTTTCATGCTGAATCGAACCTTCATTATTGTGCATCATACTGGTGCTCTGGCTCAGATATCTGGAGGAAACTGTTCCTTCTGAGTTTCCAGCTGCTGTTCACCTGGTTTAAATCGACACTAAGAATTTCACCAGACATTTGATACCAATACTTGGTGATACAGGGTAAGTTTTACTGTTTCGAATCCGGATGTTCAAGCCCCGCCCCAGCTCGTGGCTGAACTGTGACACAGAAGGCTCCATGTGTGCAGGAGGTTTAATTGGCCAGAATTTTACATTACTATTGAAATTTGGTGGATGGATTGGTTGCCAAATGGTAGTGTCCTGTATCTCAGTATCTGTCAGTACAGTTACAGAAATCCATTTTAAATTTGCAGATTAATGTACGTAAAATCCATGAAATAATGTGTCTGTTGCATCAAACATCTAAACATCACTAAATAAAATATGAACATTTTGTTTGTAACACTAAATTGAAATTGGAATCCTGTGTCTTAAATACCTGTGTATTTTCTAGACGAAATGTTGACCCTCTGATCTAATTCAAATTTATTTTAGGATTCAATCCAGTTTCCAACCTGGGGTGGTGTGCAAGCCCTCCAGCAGCCCAAGCAGTGTGTAGTTTTTAGCAGTTACACTAAATAGTGATTGTCACTCTAAACCTCTGACGTGGTTTAATTGAATTAACCATTTAATGTCCAAAGATGTATTAGTATCCAATATTTCTCTCTCACACACACACACACACACACACACACAAACCCCCCCCTAAAGTCCAAAAGATGATATGATGGGAACAAATCATTTGATTTATGCTCATGTTGTCGGCACTCCTGAATGGCCTGTAGTTTTATGAGCTGATGGCGGTAGCAGCATAGCCTGCTATACATCTTCAGTTCATTCAACTCTAACAATGAAGTGACTTACTCAACTGTGCTTAGTTTTTTATCTGTTAGCACTGAGGTTTATTTGTGTGCGACTGACTGGATTTAAAACCCTAGTAGAAAACACTTTCAGAAAGCAGTCAGACTTTGTGCTGGCTGTTTCCTATTTTGGCAGAAAGTAACAATTAATTTATAAAACATCATTTGGTGTTCAATTTTATTTCCTAGCTGTTTGAGTCCTACCAGAATGATTATGTTTGCAGAAATGTTTTTTTTTTTTCATTCCCTATTTCAGATTAGGAAAAAACAAAGCACAAAACACAACAGTTTAAAAAAAACACATGAACAGATGAGAAAACACAACAAAAAGAGAAAACACACACACAAGAAGACACATAAGACTTATTAATTGATTATATTAATAAGAACAGCTTACTTACAACAACGTGTGACAGCCGTCATGTACCAGCGCCCTAAGCGGTCGAGTGAATTTCCGAGTCGCCCTGAAGGCAACACTTTCCCCGCATCAGCCTGCCCACTATCAGCCGTCTGTTTGTCTGTCTCACAGGTGTGTGTGTCTACTCGTCCTTTTGTGTCAAATGCCGAAAACGCCAGATGAGCAACTAAACGCCCGATGACTGGAATATTTCCCCGGACTGCTAAAACAGACAGGGCTGTTTGTGGGAACAAAAACAAACGGAGCTAACGGTCGTAACGTGTTACCATGTTAGCAGCAGCAGCAGCAGCAGCAGCAGGACGGCAGGTGCATCGTCTGAGACATTAGCCTCATCTTGTGTGAGCTTCTGAAGCTCTGGGTAAATCAGTGTTTCATCTTTTTACGAAGACAACATAACGTCGCAAGTGCCCGCATTGTCAACGTAAGTAGCGTTAATAGCTGTCTGTCCGTCGTGTTTTGCTTTTAGCTCATCAACCGTCCCAACAACTGAGCAGCCAGGGGGGAGATTAGTGCAGCTAACACCGGGGAGGCAAGTTAACGTTAGCTAATTGTTGGTTCGTCAGAAAAACATACTAAATAAACGGTGATAGTTTTTAGAGCAGCTTTTTATAGGCCTGTGTTATGTCCAAGGCTGTCAGGTGACGGACTGGAAACCTTTGCTCAGTAAAGGGGGACACCACCTTTACGTTTCATGTAAACAGCACAGGTTGGTAGGTTTCCAGGTTATCTCAGGGTCAAAGCCTTTAAACGGAGCCGAGACTGTGTGTGTTTTTTATTTTAACAAGCTTAACTGAGCAGCAGGACAGCTGACCTTGTTCCGGCAGTTGTATGTAGCAAGGCCTAAAGTTGAGTTTTACTTTCATTTTTATTATTTTCATTGTGGAAGGAGGAAGTGTTGTTGGTGGGTAAATCGGTTTCACACAATGGTTGAAATAAGACAAAAGTTAACTTGGTTACTGGAGGCCTAATCACACTAAGAGCTGCAGCTAACACTTGTTTTTATTACTGAATCGTTTGCAGATTGTCTTCCAGATTAATCAAGTAGTTATGTTGTCTATAGACATCTGCTTGTGTTATCTAACCATCACTTTAAACCTTATATGAGCTTTGAGAGCCTGGGGACAAGCAAATAGTGAAAAATTGGTTAATCGATTTATTAAAAGCAGTTGCATACAGATTTTATGTTGATTACTTAATCAATGAATCAACTCATGTTTCCTCTCTAATTCTACAAATGAGGAGGGCAGCAACTACTTTTGATGTATTTATTAATTGCTTCAGGTATTTATTAAGGTGAAATCTTTCCAGCGTCTGTAATGTGAGCATTTGTGTTTTGAACTGTTAGTCTGATTTGAAGACATCATCTCAGGTTGATGGGCATTTTTCATATTGATATTTTATAGTATAAATGATTAATTAGCTAATTAAAATTAGCTCTGTCAACGATCCTTAAGTGACTTCTTCATGTTTCTAGTTTTAAGACTCAAAGACATTCACTTGAAAAGCTGCAAATCAAATGTTTTGAATTTTTGCTTTATAAATTACTTAAACAAAGAATCCCCTTTATCCCCACCTCTTCCTCATCCACCTTTTCCCCACTTCTGTCCATCCTTCTGTTCATCCTTTTTCATCTCCCACCACATCCTCCCGCCTCCAGCTCACCCCTCTGACTTCACAGTCTAAAAACTGGCATGGCCTCGGCCCAGTCAGAACAGTCAAGCGTCCTGCAAGAGGAGCTCACCTGCCCGGTGTGCCTGGACCTGTACCGCGACCCTTACTTGCTTCCCTGTGGCCACAACTTCTGCAAGACCTGCCTGGACCGCCTAAAGCGGCAAGCTGATAGAGGTCGCTTTCGCTGCCCAGAGTGCCGCGACAGCCACCGGTGTGGCATCAACTTTCAGAAAAACTTCAAACTAGCCAATATTTCTGATGACTACCGTCACCGGCGCAGAGCTACCACTGCAGCAGCTACAGCTTTAAAATCCAGAGAACTGCTGTCGTGTTCTCTAGCAGCGCAGCCAGCCAGGAGTGTGTTTGCAGTTCCATGTGACTACTGCCCCTCAGTCGCTGCCGAGGCGTCGGGCTCCAGTTCTGCTGGGGACGGGTCCTCCGCTGCCTCCGTTTCTCAGGAAGAGGGTGGCAAGCAGGAAGCTGCTGGTGCTGCCGCTGCTGCGTCGATGTTCACGGTCAAGACGTGCCTGAAGTGTGAGGTGTCGATGTGCCAGGAGCATGTAAAGCCACATCTGGAGCTTCCGGCGTTCCGCGAGCACCCGCTGACAGAACCGATGAATGACTTCTGGAAGAGGAAGTGCCCAGATCATGATGAGATATACCGGTAGGAGGCATGTGCACTCATATATTGCTGTTAATATTTTGTAAAGGTGGGAACTTACTGAAGCTATTTGAGTCAGTGATGACCAGCTGATATTAACTACGGATACACGGAACATAATGGAACAATGTTTATGTTTATATTATATTGTATGTTTCAGGCTGAAGCTATTTTCATTATCAAGTAATGCTGGGAGTGTGAATTGGTGTGGCTTGGATCTTACTACAAGTTTCTACACCAAGGCTAATTCTTTTGCATACTATGTTTCAATAACGTATACAAAACCCAACTGAACAAACATATTTACATTAATATCTTTTCCACTCCATATTTCCCACATTGCGTTTTTCGCCGCATTTGGAGCGGCACTCACTCCTTAGTGAGTCCAACCTGTTATTTCAATACTGAGCTGTCCTTTATAAGGTTTATCTGAGTTTTTACTTGGTGTGCGTCTCCAGGTATTACTGCATGGATGACAAGGTGTGCGTGTGCAACGCCTGCACCATAGAAGGTGGACACTCTGGACACACAATCAAGACCCTGAAAAACACGATGAAAGATCTCAAGGTACCCTTTTCATTGTCATCGTGGTTCCTGCACAGATTAGAAAATTCTGGATTATTATAAAGGGACATAACGTAGGAAATTCTCACACCTTTTAAATGTTATAGAAATGCTCAGGAAGCCTACAGAACGATTGCAGTTTAAATTCAATGGGACTGAATTTTTTTGTTTTTTATCCCCACAACATCCCCCATAGTTATATTTAATTCTCTTTATTAATTAGCACTAAATCCTTGTATCAAAATGAATGATTCAGAAATAAATGTGTTGGAGCTCTGCGTTTTGAAGCCTCTTCCATTTGGTTTAACCACCTTTTGATTGTTTGGCTCGCACAAAGTCTTGTGATGAGTCTGGAATCCTGATGAATGGATATCGTCAGTGTTTCGATGGCTCTGTGTGTAAATGAATGAATGAGTCACATGACTCTCTGGTGTTTTTATGGGAGAGTTCAGTCCACTTCCTGTGCTTCCATTCTCCTGAGCAGAGTGTGAAGTTGAGAGGCTTCCAGTTCATTGTTATGGATATTTAGTCCAGAAACTTGTTGTCCCACTCGTCCTGGAAAACCTGGAAAACAGTTGACCTATTTTCCAGTCATGGAAAATGAA